CCATGGGAGCACTCCAAATCGTATCAATCATCTTTCAGAAACACTTTGCACACCCACGCACGCCACTCAAATACTCGAGGAGACAGCGAATGAGATGTGAGACCCTCACCCTTGCCAAAATACTCCCCTCCCCCCCGGCCCAATCCTCCCAAGAAATGTTCAAGCCGCTCCCGACACGAACTCATATGTCAGAGACAAGACCCGCAAATTGTTTGTTTACTTTTGCATGCCATGCTGCCATCCATCCACTCGAATCCCCCCAACTGCCTGTTATTTCAGGCCGCTTTCATGTCATTTTTCAAGTTTACACAAAATATTTTAAGTGTTTGATGTCTTTTGCACCCGAAGCGCATCAATTGCCATCTAAGTCGTGAGTCCCTCTTTCATATTTCACATTGTTCCGGTTTTGGAGAGATCCCCAAATCGCATACAGACACAGATATAGATACAGATACAGATACAGATTCCGAACTAATGTTCTTTTTTTGTATTTGGGTTGGCTGCTCTGTTGCACAAACAACTCAATTAAAATGTAAGGCAACCGCAAGCGGCAGCGTAAAAAACATATAAATATGGCGCATACGCCGCGTAAATCCATAATTGCATTTGTTTGTTATCGCCGACGCCACGTGACCGGGTGGTTGAGGTGGTTGAAGTGGTTGAATGGGTGGCTGGGTGGGTGGTTTTCTGAGTGGTGGATACAATAACAATAGGGCAGTCGCCAAGCAAAGCTCCATGTACCCGAGCTTTCGCCACGTACCGATAAACGCTTTCCCCGGCTAAATTGACTTTACAAAAAATCAAAACAATATTAATGTAATCACATAAATAAAATATTTTGGAATTGAGTCCACAAATCTGTGGGGCTTTTATATCACAAAGTTTTTGTTTTCTAGATTATTTATTTGGATCATATTATTTGGGAGCATTTGCACTTGCGTGGTGGTATTAAAAAGATATCAGAAGATTTTGTTCTAAGTTTAGGATTTTATTTGGATAATCAATCTGAAATTTTCAGTCTTTTCGGTTACAGTTATTACAACTTTTTATTTTGCTTATAAAATTCAAAAAAAAAAAAGATTTTTTACTTTAATTCTGTAGATTTGTAATACTTTGTAAGTTTGATAATATTGCAATAAATAATTTTTAATCAATGTTTTTTATTTCTCACTATTTACGTCGGAAGATGATATAATGTTAGTTTAACCAAGTGTATTAAATAATATGCATATTTTCAGGATACTTAAACATATGTATATTTTTTTTTTGGAGAAATCGCTTTTCAGCAGGACATTTTGGGCAGGATGATTTTATATGCATTTCGTTGCATTTCCACTTCAATTTGAACGTGCAATGTATTTTTAAGCACTCAACTGGGCGTTTCCGAGGGCAACGAAGGGGCTTTGTTTTTTAGAGTCGGAAGGTGGGGCGTGGCTACCACCATTCCGCCCCCTTTTGGAGGCAACAATTGCCAAGTGCAGCCAGCAATGATGATGATCATCAGCAGTGGCGGCAACATCATGATGATTGCCACTTGAGCGGGTTTTTGCTGCACAGTTTTCTCTGCTCGCTTCGCTTTTTTGTAACCCACTGAATTTTACAACCTCCCTCCCCCCTCCCTCCTCTCGACCACCCACTCCCGTAGCATGTGTGGGTGGTCAATTATTTGTTGCTACTTTATAAACTGCGACCGTTTTTGTTGTAGCTTTGGAGAGGTCTCGCCAAACAGCTGCATAAATTGAGACCCAGTTTTTTTTTTTTTTGTGTTTCCCCTTTTTCTCAGTCTTTTTTTTCAGCGAAGGTGAAACTTGAACTCTGCGGTTCGATACGTGTCCAATAGGCGAATATAAAAATTGGAAAATCGGAAAATCCGGAAATCACACCCTTGGAAAACGCCAAGAATCGAAGGGCAAACTTTTCATATAAATTACCGGCAATAATATTTATTTAAAACTCCCTGCCAAATGGTTTGGGGAATTCACCGACATTGTTGTCGCTTTGGCAAGGAAATGGGAGCACCTGATTGAAAGTGCCAGCCGATCCGATCCGATCCGAAAATTTTCGGTAATTCGAAAGTAATTCGTTTAAAGAAATTTACGTGATTTGCTTAACAACCGAAAAAGTCGTGAGTGAGTGGGCCTGAAGTCCCGGGTTATTGAGTTGTTCCATGACACGCCATATTTCCTGAGGCGGGTTAATATGTGCGCCGTTTGCGTGCCACAGAATTATTGCCTAATCACTGCTCAGGGTCCTTTTTGCCAGGATGAGCGGAGATTGGATGGGAGTGGAGCAGATAGATAGTATATATATATAGTAAATGGATGTGGAAATGGGCCTGGGTTACAGCGACATCGGTGACCGAGCAGCGGCGAAAGTAGCCGCAAGTAAAAGTTTCTTCCCTCAGCCAATTTGAAGCCAAAAGAAAATTTGTAGGCTATAGAAAGTTTTTGGCCCCTCAAACCCCCCCGCTTTTGACCAAGCTTCGGTGTAGAACTTTTCCATATATAAATCTGGACACGGCAAAAAAAATCAAATTTATTTTCCCATCCTTTCATTAATGTTTGAATTTTATTAAATTGAGTCTTAAAATTCGATGTATATATTTAAAATACATATCATTAAAAACCAATACAACTATGGCATTTAAGATAGATTTTTTAAAAGAACCTTCAAACGCACATAAATATTTTTTAACTTTAACTATGTTGTTTATTAGTGTTATGTTCAAATTAATTTTCAAAAGGGCAGTAAAATATATTCTGACTAAATATAAAATGAAGTTATTAATTTACTATGGCATTAAATGCAATTAAATATTAATATATAAATATTAATCCATTAGGGTTGAAGGTCGTTCCCAGCCACGACAACGACAACAATGATGATGACGATGATGATGATGGAGTCTTCTTGCCGGATGATGGATAATGAGGCGACTCAGCTCCGAATAAAGTAATAAAGCACAACGTGACGAACAAGTTCAGGTTCGGATGACTTGGGGCCCAAGTAGATACCGTGGTCATCTTGGGCGGTGATTTCATTGAGTTGCTCCACTACAAATTGAGTGAGTCCAGTCCAGCGAGCCAAGCAAAGTGATAAACATCGAGTGAGTGATGTGCGGTGATTTGGATGAAATCTCTAAGAACTTATGATTTGGAGTCACAGACTTTTATAAGTCAAAACAATGTAGTGTCAGAACATTGATAGTCATAACAAAATTATTTACTCTTAGTTTAAGTAAATAAAAGCTTTTTCGAAATAATGAATGTCAATCCTCTTTGAACTCAAATTATTTGATATTTTGATCTAACAGTTCTTAAAGCTCTTTTATAAAACAAGGCAACTATTTTAATGAATCTTACAACAGAAATTTGATGTAAGTTCTTGGTGCTTTAAGAAATGGTGAATGTTATTTTGAAGACCCCGTGTTAACCTTATATTTTCTCGATTTTAAAACTTATCTAAACTGGTCAAAAGGCTAAAAGGTCTAGTTAAATCTTGAGTGCCCCTGGTTTGTGTACCCACCACATAGATGGCAGGTCAAAATTGAAATATTAAGCCAAACAAATCAGACTGGCATTCGACACGCGCAACGTTTATCAGTTGTTTTTTTTTTTTTTTTGTCTTTTGAGTGTGCTTACACACACACACACACACACCAAACCGGTAGTCGGAGCGGAAGCGGAAACAGACGAAAAGGGCTGAAAATGGCCGGCGGCAACGATGACGATGATGATGCCGTCTGATTTTGCTCATTTCGATGGCAGGACGAAAAAGGAAAACGAGGATGAAGGAGGAGCTCACGCGCTCATTGACGTTGAGCAACGCTTATTGGCGTACTTAATCCTTTTGGCAAATTCCAATAAATTACCAGGACGGACCAGAGACAGGCATCAAGGCATCAAGGCATCAAGGCCAACTGCCAACGGCAGCATCATCCCAACATTATCCTCTGGGAGTCGTTGAAAAAGGCAATACACAAAACACAAGCACACAAAACACACACAACAAAAAAGCACACACAAAAAGGAGCAGAGCGGAAAAAATCATCAATAGGCCATGATGAGTTTCTGATTGCAAAGCACGAAAAGGGGGCGAAACGTGTGGGGCACTGGCGATGATGGCTCCCTGATTGTCCGAACGATGCGGCCATGTCACGCGGGTTGGCCGGAGTGGAGCACCCGGAGTGGAGAACCCGGAGTGGAGCACCCGGAGTGGAGCTCAAGACCCTTCTCCCCAAAAACTCCATATTGGAATTGGTGACTTTGGGCCAGTCATAAAATCGAAATGACATTTTATGTGTGCTTCGGGATGCCTACCTTGAAAGTCGCAAGCCGAACTTAAATTGAATGCCAGCCCGCACCGAAAATGCTGCCTTCTACACTCGCAAATTGGTTTAAAAAAAAATAGTTTACAACAAAATTCTACATTAAAATCCACAAAGAAATTACTATAATTTTTGTGGCTTCGAAAATTAATTACTTTTTTAAAAATTTACAGTTTTCAACTTGACTTAAGCATTTTGCTCAACGTTTTTACTTATTTATTTTATAAACACATGAAAAACATTACATGATAAATATGTATTGTTTTAAATTTTGTTTTCAATGCTGGAATTGCTTAGAAAAAAATATAATATATAATTATAAAATTGCCAATTTTTTAATTTGGTATTCAATGCTATGCATGTATGCACGAAATAAAATACGTTTTATTTAAATTAAACAGTTAACTACGTGAAAAAAATTGCTTATCATAAAATTTGGTATTCAATATCATATAATTTGGTTAACTATATTACGTTACGTATGAATTTAACAATTTATTAATAATAATAAAAATAGCCATTTAAAAAGAAACGAGAATTCAAAAAAAAAACATTAAATGAATTTTAAGGGAAACATCATTTTTTACGCTTAACATTCATTTAAATAAAAAAAAATTAAAAATAACTTTAAGCAAAAATTAAATAACAAAAAAAACAATAAAAAATGTATTAATTGAATGTATTTGCCAAACCCAAGCTCAGTTGGACATTTAATAATTTTGTCTTTGATCTAGGAATTTTGACAAAGGGTGTTGTGTAATTTTTCTCGCAGTGTTCGTCCTGTCTGTTGCTGTATTTTATGGCATTGTGCACTGGCTTATCCTTATCTCTGGCCCGACCTGCTCCCCATGCCGTTTTTATTGTAAATGCTTTGCATATTTTTGATTGGCTTCCCGACCGACCCCTGACCAAATAAAAAAACAATAAGAATCCTTTGTGCCGGCGACTGGGTGTGGAGGGTGTCCCATCCCATCCCGTTCTGCTCTTCATTCATTTTATTTGCTCAACTCGAGCTGCTCCACTCCGGCGAGGAGTTTTCCCCCGAAGAAGCGCTCGTCGATGCGCCGACAGTGGGCCATTAGACGGGGATAGGTGGCCAGGATCTCGGCCAGCTCCATGTTGGGCAGCTGGGTGGTCGCTATGGCCACCATGTGGCCAAAGACCAGGGCGTCCAGTTGACAAGGCCGCTGGCCGCAGAGGTAACCCTCGGGCTGGTGCTCCTCCAGCTGGGCAATCAGTGCGTCGACACAGAGGCCCACCTCGTGCAGCACCTGGTCGTTGTCCATGTCCTGCCACTGGTAGACCTTCAGTATCCGCCTCGCCTCCCGTTGCTTGGCCAACCGGCGGATGAGGCCCAGTGGCCAGGGATGAGCTGCCTCAATGCGCGGTGCCGTGTACAGTTGATAGTTACCGGAGTCCACGAAACTCATATGGAGTTCGGCCAGCGTGAAGACATTCTCCACGTAGGTAACCAGACAGCGGACATCCTCGCGCTGATCCTCGGACATCCAGTCGTTCACCGCCCGCATGGCCTCCACCTGGGCCACGATCGGCTCGAACTCGGCGAAAGTCGCAATCGGACCCAAGCAAAGCAGCGGCAGGTGGGTCAATCGACCGCCCGGCGACATGAACTCCGCATTCTCGCTGATCCGCTCCGAAAAGGGCAGACCGCTCATGAGCAGGAAGGTCTTCACCGCCAGACAGCTGGAACGCTCCGCCAACAGCAGTTGACTCATCTCGGGCGGCTGATGCAGGTGGGCGTCCGCCGGCCACGCCTCCTCCTCCTCCGCCTTGCGCCCCGGTGTCTGCATCAAGGCAGCGGTCAAGCTCTGCTCCACATTCATATTCGAAGTGCCGGAAATTTTGACTAAAAGCGAGTGTTTTTGGCTTTTGAGCAAGCCAAATATAATTGACAGTGATGGCAAAGGTGGCCTACTTTATTGTTTAAATATTTTATTTAGATAATAAAATATATTTCACCTACACCCAGCCCTTAAACGTTCAATTGTATTCAACAAAAGATTACAATAAATGAAAAGGCTTGGAAAGGCTTCATATTTACCCACTTTATAATCTATTTAAAATACATACAGCCTTTCAAAGTTTAATTGTACTCTGCAAATCATTACAATAAACGGAAAGGCTACATACATATTACAACTCACATCTACTTTTGGAGACTGTTAAATTGGCGTGTGTTTTATTAAGACAATAATTATAATTAAAATAAAATGATTTATATACAATTTATATAATTATGATAAAACAAATATTAAATTTTCTTGTAAGTGTTTTTTAGCTAAACAAATAAAATATCTAAATTGTTGTCAGAGTAATTTCTGCTAAGTCGACTTTAAATTTAAAATATACAAATTTACTTAAACCATCAAAAAAACAACCCTATAACTTCAATACATTTACATATGTATATAGGCAGGGAACATTTATTTTTCACATCAATCGCAATCCTGTAATTTTAAAAGATAATAAAATATTCCAAGTCGTTTTGCAATTTGAAGCATTAGCACTAAGGTGAACAAAAAGCACTTACTAACAAGTTTTATACCAAATGAGAGAAAGCTAGGCAAAATTACAAATGCCTAACAAGAAGTTGGAAACTGAGTATGCATTTCCCTGTTGAATTAAATTATAATCTTGCTCAATCACGCAATAATAGATCGCCAAGTATTTAAGCTGCACAATGAGTTCTGTGTTTCTTCAAATATCACTTGAGCTTGTTTGTTTTCTGACTTTTCCTCCCATTGATTGTTCCCTGTTGTTATGGAGAAGCAAATTGATAGGTAAGACCGAAGAGTTCGTATTTAGGCATTTAATTGGACTGCAATTAGAGGAATTGAAATTTGAAATGTGCAACTGGCAACGAAGAAATGCTTAGGCAAATAAACTATATTTGCAATTAGCGAAATTATTCGAATTCAAACGGAGGACCAAAGGACTAAATTCGGACATTGAAGTTGAGGTTGAGGGTTGTCAGTCGTTGTCGTTGACAGGATTCACTTTGCCACTGAAAAATCAGTTTCGCTTTGATGATGGAAATGTTTTGTGAATTTTCCGCTCAAATGGACATTCTGGCAATTAATCACTGGCCGACGTACCCACTCGTTCCTTCCCCCATCGGCAGGCACTCAAAGTTTTGCCTAAAAGGTTTGGCCCACTCTCTGTGCCAATGCCAAATAGGTGGAGGTGGAGTGCCGCCCGCTGCTTTTGGCCAACAGCCTCGCGAACTGGAACCCAAAACCAAGAACTGAGATCCAAGAAGTGAGGACTGTGGACTGAGGACTGAGGACTGAGAACTGAGTACTGAGGATGATAAATTACACCGACCAGGCGGGACATTATGCACAGTTTTGTGGCTGCTCTGATCCAGAGCTCGAGACTCGAGTGTTCCCGGAAATAGCCAAAAGTTCTTGGCGTTCGGGAAACGTTTCATGGATCATCAGGTACGATGAGGGGGTGACAGGCTCTCCATGATTGAATGGCCTTGGTGATATGCTTCTGCACAGAACAAAATTCATAAACTTAAAGCTTTTAAGCTCTTTTAAATACCTTTTTTTTTAAGAACCATTGTTGCATCTATTCCTACTTCTATGTTTTTTTTATGTTCTTATTTGTTACAAGTAAAAATAATTGAAAGTTTTAACTTTATGTTTCAAATTGTTGATTAAATGATAGTTCACTATTTTTAAAGACAGCTAGTAATAACACAAATTAATTGAAAATTGTATAACTGACAAATATAAATAATTGATTAAAATTTGTATCATTGAACAATAATTGTTGCACTAAATGTTTGTATTTTTGGGTAGGACTTTTAGTATTTCTTAAATTATCAAATTAAAAACTATTTTAAAAAACCTGATGTTAGGTTTGAAATACCATTTAAGGATCCATTATCTGATGCTAACATTTTAAACTTATAGTTTAGGGGCTTAACTATTTTTCATTTAAAATGATTTAATATTAAAATTAATGTAACGTTTTGTTTGAAAATATTTTGTAATGTACCCAAGCAATGTTAATTTGTGTGTGGACCTCATTTTCATATAGACAATCCGGTCTGCGTTGACAACTGTGAAAGTGTGTGAAAGTGTGTGAAAGTGCGCTGTGCGATTGACGGATTATCCCATTTCGGGAGTCGCCTTCAACTGATTAGTATTCCCGCGACGTTCGAGCCCCGAGACTAATTTAACGCCAAATTACGATTTTTGGATGAGAGTTTTTGATTTACCAGCCACGTTCTAGGGAAATGAAAGAGTAAATACGAAATGCGAAATACGAAATACGAAATACGAGGACAAGGCGTTGTCGTTGATTGATTTGGTCGAGGACATTTGGGAATTCCTCGGTCTTCGTTCTTTGACAAAGTCCCAAATTAATTAAGCCACACAGAAGCCACTTCGATGTCGGACGAGTGATATCCATCCAGTTTGCCAGATTGGGCTACAGAATATAGAATACTGAGTACGGAATAAGACATACGGAATACGGAATACGAAATACGGAAAACGAAATACGAAATATGGGAGCACGGTGGATGTTCGCCTGGTTGAGACATCGTTTCGGCAACAAAAGCCAACAAAAGGCAACAATTCTTACCCACTAATAAAGAATAATATGACTGCCATAAAACTCAATTTATTACCAAAATGTCGACAAGCAGCAGAGTCTTGTGCGTATGTGTGCCACTTTCTCCTTCTGCTGTGTGTGTGTGTGTGTGAGAGAGTTACGACCGACGAAGAAAGGAGGTGAAAGGAGAACGAATGACGTACGGAAGTGGCAAACAGCAAAAGTTTATGCTGCCATTTTTGTTTGGCAATTTTCTATTTCTATTTCAATTCCATGGCGTCGTTTTATTTGCATTTGGTGTGAGAAATGTGTGCGCGACTTGCGACCCGAGTTTGGCCTTTCACTTTATCACTGATACCCTGTAAAATGCGATTACAGGATTTACTTGAAGTTGAGTTACTTTATTCAACAAATAAAGACCGAAGTAGCTTTGAAATGGCTAAAAGCGAATGACTGCACACTTTAAAAACCTTTTTAACTGATACATTTTTTTTCTTTTCTGCTGCCATTGTGTTTGTATAAATTATTCTGAAAATATGTAACTAAACTAGCATAACGACAAATCTATAAATAATATTCTGAAAAAGTTACTTATTTCGTATATATATATATATTTTTTAATGCTAGATAAATGTTTGGTTTTGAAATAATTATGAATAAAAGAGTTATCACAGCTGCTAAATCTAACCAACTGTTTAAAGTGCAATACTTTTGTTACATAAATTCAAATATATATTTATATTAGCTATTAAACCTTATGAAAATTTTCTTTGACCGAGAATTAAAGTGATAATATTATCAAATGAAAAGTAATTGTGATGCACACTCGAAACCTTCGCATAACTTAGTAAAATACTTATTTAGCTAAGACACTTTGTTTGAAAAAATTCAATTCAATATCTTGTTTTATAGACTTGTACAGGGTACATCTGAGTTGAGGCCAAACACCTAAGGATTGTTAGTCTTAGCTTTTAACGTAATTCTTTCGCACGACTCCCTGGCTCCCACCTTTGTCTTCGTCATCTCCTGCATTCGTTTCATTTTCATCTTTGTTGTGCAATTTTATTTGCTATTTTGGTTTTGTGCTCCTCCATTCCACGTTGCTGCTTGTCTTTATTATTATTTTGTTTCTACAAATGGCGATTTGTTGCTCTTGTTTCTTCTTTGTTGCTCTTTGTTGCTCCTAGTGCTGTGTGTTGGCCTTCGTTGCCATTGTGTTGGTTATTGTTTGATATTGTCGGCCATTCGTTGGATTTCGTTGGCCAGCTGTTGGGGGCACTTCACCGACCGCTTTGTGGCCACAATTTGGCGGAATTCGCTGGAAATGGGGACAGTTGGAGGAGCGATTCCCGCTCTGGATGCCGCTAAATAACCGTTTGGCTGAGCTAATCCACGGCCATATTGTCCATTGTCTGGTGGAGATAGGCGGTCGGTCACTGGGACATAATCGGAGGCACAAGCAGATGGCGGCGGGAGTTGGACAAAAGAAGGATCCTGTTCAGGGCTGATTGCTGGACAGGTCAAGGCTGGCAGCCCATTTGTTATCAGGTACAGGTTGCTTTAATGGCAAAATAAACAAAATATATATTTAAGAAACAAGTGGCATTATTATTTTTCAAATATTAACATTCGTCAAGGGACCTGGGCTTAAAGAATTTCAGAATTTCAGAATTTAACCTTAGCCAGTTTAGTCAACGTTACATATACGTAATGCGCTGAGTGCTATGTTATGTTCAACACTGCGTATAAGTAACAATACATTTCTCATTCTGTTACACAAAGTTATTTCTTTGTAGATAAAAGTAATCAAATACATTTGTGTTAATAATTTGAAAAATCTTCATGTTATAGGAAGAGTAATGTGCGTAAGCCAAATTACTAATACGCCGTGGGCCACACTGCGTATACGTAATGTAGTGGGAAATTTGCAATATTCAAAGCTGCTTTTAAGTATTATAAGTCATCCTTTGAACTAGAGAAGAAGAGCTTATTAACCGATTTCGTCCAATAACGATTGCAGTGTCTGTGCTATTTGCGGTTGTCTTGATGGAACCATTACGTCCCCGTAAATCCATTAACCTGGATGGAAAATGAAATGGAAAACCTTTTATGTTACATTAAATTTGACTGCGTGCCGAGCGACAGTGCGAAGTGTGGTGAGTGGTGAGTGTGGTATTGGGGTAGAGTCCTGTGACTGCTTCTATAGCACCCCAGTGTTTCCGTGTCCCCGTGTCTCTGCACTTCCGAGTCCCGGCTGGCGGCGGGCTTGTCAAAGTTGTCGCAACATTGTGGCGCTGTCAGTGTCATTGTCGCTGCGAATTATGGCGGC